ATCAACATTTTTATATTATTTTACTTTTTTTTTGCTTTATTGTGAATACATGGAATAAAATACAATATTTGGATGAATAAAAAAGAGAAGATATTTTATTTATAAACTATACAATTTTGTATTCATATTTTAAAGTTCTCGCCACTGCAAAAAATAAATAAATTAAAAAAAATTTCCCACCCCTCTTTTATAAACGGTACTCTCTGTGGATCTTTGCCAAGTGAGTGGGCTTCTTTGTGTCAGGCTCCGGTGGTGATTAGCAGAGACCACCATGATGTGAGTGGCACCGACAGTCCCTTCAGAGAGACCTCCAATGTGTACGATGGCTCTGCGTTCTGTGCAGGTATGTCCTTGCGCACTTTGTTTCGTCAAACTCCCACTGCAATCACTTATTACGAATGCTTATGACTTATTCCGTAAAACCCGACAATGTTCATTCAAATGACACCTTGCTTCTTTCTTATAGATATGGCAGTCCAGAACTTTGTTGGTGATGCCTTCAGGGGTGCCACCTGGGTAGCTCTGCACAACGGCGGCGGTGTTGGCTGGTAAGGCTTGGTCGCTTATCTTTTATCGAGGTGGATTTGTGCAAATGTTTGCCATACGTCTACACCGGGGATGTCCAGACATTTTCATCCGAGGGCCATATACAGAATCACAGAAGGAATATTGTGTGGGAACACTCCACCGTAGGTCATTGTAGGCTAATTATTTAAGTGAAGACTTTGATCCGAAGATTATTTCTCACAATTCTCACAGGGGTGAAGTGATGAACGGAGGATTTGGTTTGCTTTTGGACGGCTCTGAGGAAGCAGCGAAGCGAGCCTCCCTGATGCTCAACTGGGACGTGTCCAATGGGGTAAGAAGATACAGACGCGTGGATTTGACAAATGACCTCCATCTAACGCAAATGACTTTTTCTGTTTGTGAAGGTGAGTCGGCGCAGCTGGTGTGGAAATTCCAACGCCTATGAGACAATCCAGCGCACCATGGAGGAGGATCGGAAGCTGCGAGTCACTCTGCCATTTCCTGTCCACGATGAGCACATACTGGATCGGGCCCTGCAGGGCTAACTTCGAAACGCTGGAGTGTCTGAATGAGAACACCAAGCAAATGGTTTTGTACACCTGCAATATCTAATAAGAGACAATACAATACAATACAGGTGTGTTAAAATAGCTTTTTAATTAATTCAAAAATAAATCACATCTCGCCATCCATTTTGCAGAGCACTTGACCTCATTAGGGTTTGCAGGCGAGCAAATTTCCAATTTCTCCTCTACAAATTCCAAGTTTGAGGTGCCATGTACTGTAAACCGAACATGCTATATTATACCTTCTTACTTTATAAGATTATTAGATTATATTCGATTATAAGATTATATTACCTTATATTATACCTCTTACACACACATTAAAAAAAACTTATACACAAGACTCTCACACATTCAGACACACATAGACACACCAAAAGACCCCACACCCATCCCCCCAAAAATCACCCTCACCAAAATCAGTTAAACACTCACAAAAAAACCCTCACACAAACTAAATAAGATCTCACACCCGCCAAAAAAACTCATGCTCACAAAAATCTCTCCCACACAAAATTCTCACACCCACGAAAAAAAAATCTTAGTCACCAAAAAAAACCTATGACACACAACAAACAACTTACAAACACTGAAAAAGATACACACACCCAAAAAAACTCAATCACAATATTTGGAGAGAGAGAGAGAGAGAACTTCATTCATAAGTGCATATTGCTACCTTAATATTTTTCTTTGTTTAAAAAAACATTCATAAATTGAGACCTTGTATCCCGCCGTGCCTATTTGTGCGTTGTTGGTCCTTTAAGAAGCTGGCTGCATTCGAATCAAAGTGACGTCATTGAATTGGAGATGTGGAAGTCCTGCAGGGGGAAGCACATCCTGTCGTTAGGAGCATCTTTATTGACCGCTTTTCAGTCTTTTATTGGTTTATTATGATTATATTCGGCTTTAGTGTCTGTTTAACATACTTTTGGGGGGGATTTTGTACGCCTGCGCCCCTTTTTTCTGCAATAAGGCTTTTTTGGTGTACTGGTATGTTGCATTTCGTGTTGAAAGTTGCCGAGGGCGTGCTGAGGTGAAGCTGTAATGACAAATGTGATGCAGCGGAGCAAGCGCACACAACAACATCAAGTAAGAGAACGCACGGAGGATGACTGCGCAGCCTGGGGCGGGGGCCACCCTCCCCGGATGTGACTCGGGCAGCGCGGGCAGCAGCAGCAGCAGCAGCCTCGTCGCCCTCTCCGACCTACAGCCTGCTGCTCACGTGACGCAAATGAAGTTGAGGAAAAACGCGGTGACTGACGACTACAAGATCACCGCGCACGTTCTCGGCCTGGGAATCAACGGCAAAGTGCTGGAATGCTTCTGCAAGAAGACTGGACACAAATGCGCCCTCAAGGTTTTCTAGCACTCGTTTTCTCACTGGAGAGACACGAATCAGAGCAGGGATGAGCAACTTTAATGAGGAGGGGGCCAGAATTTTCCATCCGTGGTATTGGGATAGGGCGTGGCCAGGGGTGGATCGGGTGCTTGGGGTGTCAAATCGGGTCACGCACTTGCTAACCAGCTGAATGACTAAAATGCCACATGGGTGTTAAAGATGGACCAAATACATGCATCAAAATAGGGATGCCACAAAACTGCTGAGCTGCAAACCAAAATTAAGTGCAAGAACTTATTTAGTGCATTTGTTCCACCCCCCCCCCCACCAAAAACCCCCCAAAACAATTCACTCAATTTTTTTTTATGATTGAGGCACTATGTTTGTCCTGCAAGTCTTTGTTATTGCTTATATCGTAGCACAGAGCAAGTGAGTGCAAATAAAATGCCCACCATCTAGTGGCGATTGGTGATATTGCAATTTAAAACTATACAGGCATAGACAATGACCATCATTTGAGTTCACAATCTCGGCTCTTAGGCACTGTGATATCATTTTCAGCTGACAGCAAGTGGCACAACAATCCAAAATGGCAACCTTTCAGACAGATAAAAACAGGCGGATTTATCCGCTTATTTTATATTCCACAAACACAATATTGATCAGAATGATGCGTTCGGACTAGCGTGGGTGCGTTGAACATATTATTGTAAAGAACCTTTTTGACGCCTCTTCCTGTGTCATGTCTGTGTTTTTTTTTTTTTATCAGATTTTGTACGACACACCAAAAGCCCGCCGTGAGGTGGAGTTGCATGCAAGGGTTTCCGGTGGTCCGCACGTGGCCCGCATCCTCGGCCTGTATGAGAACATGCACAAGGGGAAGAAGTGTCTCCTCATCGTCATGGAGTGGTCAGCATTTCCAGCACTGTGGCACACTCATGCTCCATCTTGAATCATTTATGAAAGGTGTTCATTATTTGAATTGCAGCTTGCGGTGGAGTATAACTGCAAGTGCGTCCTATTGAGATTTCTTTGAATTGAAGGCGTCGAACTGTTTTTCATACAAAGAGTTATTGTAGTGGCGATTGGTGATATTGCAATTTAAAACTATACAGGCATAGACAATGACCATCATTTGAGTTCACAAGCTCGGCTCTTAGGCACTGTGATGTCATTTTCAGCTGACAGCAAGTGGCAGAACAATCCAAAATGGCAACCTTCCAGACAGATAAAAACGGGTGGATTTTTCTGCTTATTTTATATTTCACAAACACAATATTGATCAGAATGATGCGTTCGGACTAGCGTGGGTGCGTTGAACATATTATTGTAAAGAACCTTTTTGACGCCTCTTCCTGTGTCATGTCTGTGTTTTTTTTTTTTTTCAGATTTTGTACGACACACCAAAAACCCCCCGTGGGTTTCCGGTGGTCCGCACGTGGTCCGCATCCTCGGCCTGTATGAGAACATGCACAAGGGGAAGAAGTGTCTCCTCATCGTCATGGAGTGGTCAGCATTTCCAGCACTGTCAGACACTCATGCTCCATCTTGAATCATTTATGAAAGGTGTTCATTATTTGAATTGCAGCTTGCGGTGGAGTATAACTGCAAGTGCGTCCTATTGAGATTTCTTTGAATTGAAGGCGTCGAACTGTTTTTCATACAAAGAGTTATTGTAATGATGCCTTTACTGTAGCTTTAGCGTAGGTTATTCACCATGTAAATTGATTATTCAAATTCTAAACTAGGGCGCAACTGATAGGGATTTTTGAGGCCAATGCAGATTCAGATATTTGGCGATTAACAACCCCCCCCAAATAAAAGATAAGAAAACCTTTATTTGTCTCACAATGGAGAAATTCCCAATTTACAGCAGCAAAATTATGAAAGGGAGAAAGTAGAAAACAATAAGTATAGAAATAAATATAAAATATAAACACAAGCATATTAAAAATTATTTGTTTTTTAGTCCCTGAACACTTACAATAAAAAAGATGTGAATTTCAGGCAAAACATTTGACTGTTTTACAGTACATTGTCCTTGAGAGTTTGTTTAACTTTGCAACGGAGAGAAAAATCAGCAAAAATAAGCCAAATATTTATTTTTTTTAACCCATTTTAGGAATAGGAACGTTTGATTGTCATTATCTTTGCCTTATGTAGTAGTGTGTTAATGTGTTAAAAAAAAGCAATTTTTTTCCCCGATTTTTATTGATTTCAAAACAACTAATATTGTTCGATGTATTCGTTTGGACCCTTGTATAAACAGAACAGATTTGCATGTGAAGAGTAGACTACATTTAACATTACTTGGTGGAGTAACCAACACAAACATCAGAGAAAAATAAGCAATTGTGAATCTAATGTTGAAAAAAAACAAACAAACAGATTAGGTTGTTCTCCACAACCAACACCTTAATCAAGACTGGAGTTTACAGGAAGTAAAAATTGACCAAGTTTATCCCGAGCTGGAAAAAATATCAAAATCACACAAGAAGGGGAGGATCGTACTTCCCAAAAAAAATTGTTCCCCAAGGCAGAACAAATCCTGATGGCTTTACTGCTAACTTGCATCCAAATTGGTCACTCAGAACTCGGTTCTAAACCGAGAACCCCCTTGCACAAAACGGCACCATTGTTTTGTCATCATGGCGAATTGGGAGCGGGCTTCTGCTGCCTCAGTGCTCATCTTTTTATGTTTCAGCATGGAGGGAGGCGAGTTGTTCTGTCGCATTCAGGCAAGAGGGGACCAGGCCTTCACCGAGAGAGGTGGGTCACGCTTCATAAAAGCCTCACGCGGCCCCTACGTGACATGACATCTGTATTTCGGCTGTCCAATTAGAGGCATCCGAGATCATGCGGGACATCGGCTCGGCCATCGAGTACATCCACCTCATGGACATCGCTCACAGGGATGTAAAGGTAAGCCCCCAGATGATCAAAACACAATTATTTACAATTCGGCCGACATTTTTGTCACCGTGGCTTCAGCCTGAGAACCTGCTGTACAGCACCAAGGAGACCAACGCATCACTCAAACTGACTGACTTTGGCTTCGCAAAGGAGACCACGCAGCACAATTCCCTGCAAACTCCCTGTTACACTCCTTATTATGTTGGTGAGTTCATCGCATAGCAGAAATACCAGCGCAGGAGTATTAGTTGTGAGTATCGGTTCACTGCGGCGTAATGTGCATCCTGTTCGTCTTCTTCTATGGGCTGAATAATTATCTTCTTTTTTGTACAGTACTTAGTATGATTTGCATTTTCAAATAAAGGTGCGTCTTAATCAAAAAAAGATATATACAGTCGAGCAGAGGACCCGCGTAGAATTGAAAAAAAAAATGATATGCGTGTTTCCTAAGGCAAAGCTGTGAGGTTGTTTGTCATTTTTAATCATAATTTGTAAAATTCAGCTGTAAACTATAATTTTCACAAAATGCACTTTTACTTTTCAAAATATTGAATTTGTCCATTATAGTGCTTTTATTTGATCGGAAATGTACATTTATTGTTGGTGACGCTTTTTAAAAAATGTTTTATTCACTTTGACTTTCTTTCCATTTTTCATCAATATGTTGATCAACCGCCAGGGGGCGTATTTGTATTGTAGCATCTGCGTTGCTATGTGCCGCTCTAACCCACCGTTAATTTCCTCGCAAATTAAGCTCATTGACAGCATTGGACACATTTTGTCGTTTGTGCGATGTGTTTCATCCGTCCCGTCAGCCCCTGAAGTGCTCGGCCCAGAAAAATACGACAAGTCATGTGACATGTGGTCTCTGGGTGTCATCATGTACATTCTGTGAGTGTCACGTCTCTCGTGTGTGTATAAAATGCGAAACTGAGAGGAAATCACTGATGCCAACATGTCTTCTCAGGCTGTGTGGATTCCCCCCGTTCTACTCCAACACAGGCCAGGCCATCTCTCCTGGGATGAAGCAGCGCATTCGACTGGGACAATACAAATTCCCCCTCCCTGAGTGGGCGGACGTTTCAGAGGAGGGTCAGACTTTTAAACTAGCAAAAACATGCACGTTAGTTTCATTGAAAACTCTAAATTGTCCATAATTGGATGATTTTTGTACAGACAGGAAAGCTACCGCATTACTTCACTGCTTTTGCGTCAATGCTTTTTTTGATAGTGCTGGAAAAGTTGACTGTTTTGTCCAGATGATGTTTTTAATATCACACGGAATCCATTTCATAAGCCCTTCTCTCCGTATTGTCCTCCCGCAGCCAAACAACTCATCATCCAGCTGCTGAAGACCGACCCCAATGAAAGGATGACCATCGGTCAGTTCATGAGCCACCCTTGGATCAGTGTAAGTTGACAATCCACGCACATCGCGCTATTTTTTTTTTTTTTTTTTGCGTGTCTCCATGTTATTCTCAGACGCGTGTGTATCGATAACACAGCAGTCCAAGGCGGTGCCGCTCACTCCTCTCCACACCCCTCGTGTTCTGACGGAGGACAAGGAGCTGTGGGATGACGTCAAGGTGAGAGCGATGTTTTTGCAAATTGCGTCCGCGAGGAGGGAGAAAATTGCAGGTGGTTTGTGTTTTGTGTCCATCAGGAGGGAATGACCAGTGCCTTGGCCACGATGCGTGTTGATTACGAACAGGTGAGGATTAAAGACTTGGACACATCCAACAACCCTCTGCTCAATAAAAGACGCAAGAGGCCGCTGCCCGCAGAGGACGAAACTAATTTTAATTGTAACACAAATACTCCTTTTTCTGACCAGGGGAAATTATTATAATGATGAAAGTGTATCATTACAATCAAATGTGTTGAAGTTAAATAACCGGTGGCAGCTGGTCATTAGTTTGACATGTACAGTAGCTTCTATTCAATAGATAGGACCAAGGTGGGGCGCAATATACAAGCGCTTTCAGTATTTTATTTTTCAGGGGGAAGACTGACATCTGGTGTTACAATCTATGTTGTTAGAAATTTAATTCATAAATCTTTTCAGTGTCAGATGTTCATATTTCAAATGATGTCACGTTTTGGGGAACTATACATTCGTCATGACAGCATAACAATACTATGACAGAGAGGTCGCTACTGTACCGTGCTCATCATATACTCTATATGAATATAAGAGATTTTATTGACATGAATGCGAAGGTACTGTGCAGTATTCCAAATAAAATTGCACTTTTAATGCTTTACGTTATCAGATTTTTCTTGTATATGAAACTTTATGGAACATCGTGTAAATGTGAAATGCGATTCATTCCTCTGCTAGTCGTGGTTATGGTTAAAAATAAGTTATATGGTCGTGTGCCTCGCCCAAAGTCAACTGGGGTAGGCGACCCTAATTAAAAAAAACGATGGAAAATTTATGTTTATAATATTGAATGAAAAATATGCTAATATAGTTATTTAAAAATATTTGGATCCAGTTCAGGAGGAGGAGTGAAAATGCAATTGAAATTAATAGTTTCAAATTGTGCAGGTGTGTGTGTCATTTATGATAATGGCATCCAATGAACTGCAATCTTCAGTGGATTTGAAACTCTTAAAATGCATGTGATGACGCTCGCGTTTCCAAGAGCGGTTGGGAGTCTTGGCGAGGAGCAACCGTGGCAGATGAGACATCGAGGATTAACTTAAATTCAGGTTCTGCAATGCAGGCTGGAGGAGATTGACCATGTGGCTCAAAGCATCACTAATGGACTTCAGAAGTCTTTGTCAGCTGTCATGACACATTTTCATTCAAGTTTGGGGCACGTACGTTTGTTTGTGTAGTGTCCAAGGGTGATACTAGTTTGGGATTTTTCATTCCAGTTAGTTTTGTTTTTCTTTTGATTTTTTTTTTTTTAATTCAGTTAATTTTAATTCGTTTTTATTGAAGGTTTGTTAGTTTTGTTTTTGTTTTTTTTCCAAAAATGCTTTGTTTTAGTTTAGTTGGAATTAGTTTTAGTATTAGTTTTAGTTTTTTTTTTTTTGTTTTGTTTTGTTTTTTTTTTAGATATGGAATTTTTGTTGGGTGCAAGATTTTAAAAAAAGGCCCGCTCGCTGTTGTGTAATTAAATAAAGGTAAAATTCTCAAATGACTGATCTTCATTCTTTAGTAGCTATGGATATGCAGCAATATTGAAATAAATACATCTCAAATGAAGCCTGAAAGCTCATGTACAATTTTAATAGACATGAAAACGAAGGACATTTTTGCTAAAATTAGAGTTAAGATGTAGTTTCAGTTACTTTTCTTTTCTTGTCTTTTCTTTTTTTTTAATGCATTTTTACTTTTATTATGTTGTTCATGATTTCCCCCCCCCCCAACTTTAGTTTCGGTTATTTTGTTAGTTTTTGTGAACTATAATAACCTTGGTAGTGTCTCACAAGTCATTTGCAACAATCACATTTGTAAGAGGTGAAAGTTTGCAACTGAAATGTAGTTACGAGACACGCTATCTTGCCTCTCACGGGTCAGTCTTGATACTAAGATGAATATCATTCTGTGTGTAATGTGCTGTGTTGATAATCTGGAGTACTGTGACCACCATGCACCATACGGTGTCATTTACTAGAATATTAAATACAGTACAAAATTATCTTCTGATTAATATAATACAAGAATCGAGCATATTAATTCAAACATTTTCAACCACCTGCCATGTTGACGTTGTACCACATGCCGCTGTCGACTGAAATTGACGTCAAGGTGCCCTCGGGCTCGCATTGCAAAGGTCACGGCTCACCTGTTCTCCGATGCAGGGAAGTTTGACTCTGCTGCAAACTCCAAGCAGCCTTGTCATCTGATACCTTTTGACCCACTCCTATAAAGCACACATTGCTACGTCTACGTCACTTTAATAAAACTCCCATTTTGCACCGATCATTCTTCTCACACAAGCATGCATATATAAGCACAATAGCAATTGCATGCACTGTTCCTTTGATTTGCCGGTTCACCTTTTTGGAAACAATAGTTTCTCATGTCGTTGGGTGTGTCTGGACTTTCCCATTTAAGCATTAGCTGTGCACAACTTTCAGAACATCCTTCATGTTACTGTGGGACCGGTTCATATTTATGGCAACTTGCAAATTCTCCCACTCCTTTCCTGCAAGATGTCAAACAAAAGAGACTTTTGCATACCTCGCTGTTACACAGCCACCGCGTGTTTCGTCAGTTGTGAGCTGACTTAGGGTTTAACTGTTCTGGCCGAGGCAAAGGAATTTTAGCTTGTTTGTTTGCAAAAGAGGCTCAAGTTTAAATCCACACCATGGAATAGACATCCAGTGATAGGGTCATGAAGAATACAAGGCAGTAGCTACAATGCTATTTAGGTGGATTATTTTCGCTCTTTAGCTTTCAATTTATCATGAAACGCAGCCCTTGTTTTAGACTTTAGAGCATCTTTTTTTTTCCTTTACCATTGAAGTTTTATTTCTGTGGTGTTTTTTTCTCCTGTTTTATTTTTATTTTTTTATCCATGCATATCACTTTGTTTCAGATACAGTTGTTTTTCATTACTGGCAATGCCCAGTGTCTTACTGTACCGATTGAAAAGACACGTTTGGAATGCAGGCAGGCCAGTCAAACACCTGCACCTTCCTACGTGGTAATAGCGCAGTTACGAACTAAAATAACTAGAAAGGATGTTGTCGTGAAAGCCGCATCAAGTCTCTGTTTACTTGAATGGAGCCGTCACAGAGTTCCAAGTTACTGTTTCAAAGTAGTTGTTGGTCACAAAAACTGAATGCGATGGTGTGCATTTATTCCATTTTTCTCCAAAAACAAAAAAAACCCCAAACCAAACCAAACACCCCAAGAATGCCTTTATAAACACGCTATTTGGTTGACTTCCTCAACTTCTTGTACATAATAGTAAATCGCTCATCTGACTAAAGGTGATTTCTCCAAAAGATTCATAATAATGTAATAATGGACATTATTAAAACCAATCTTGAATCTCCACCTTGTAGATCTTAGATGTATTTTATGAAATAATTATAATTAATTTATATTAATTAGAATGGATTAATTAAAAACAATCATTGTTTTATTATAACCCACCTTACATACAGTATGCATTAACATGCCTATTTATTTGATTAAAGTATGAGTGAATTAATTATTAATAAATTATTTTAGAAATTAAATTACAAATTAAATTATAAAATGTGAAACTGACCTTTTTCATGCAATCAATTTGACATTTAAACATTTTTATGTATTTAATTAAATAATTGGTAAATTATCATAATTATATTCATTATATATGAAAAAGTTATAATAAAAATATTTTATTTTAAAAAGCTTTCTGAGATATTCCTTTGATATTCATTTTGTATTTTATTTATCAATCGGTATTATCTTGAAATTAATGATGAATCGTTTTTGGAATGGGGATAAATGATATTAAATAATGGGTTAAAATATGTAATTCTTTTTTTAAATGTTAAATTAATTATAATTAAATAAATAATGTCATTAAGTGTAATCGTTTTTTATGATAAATACGTTATTGTTAAATTGAATATTGTGACATTTAAATCTACGTATACTGTTTCTTTTATCTTGTATTGAATAATTGATAATTGAATTTAAAATGCTTACTATTATTGTTATTTTTATTTTTATTATGATCATTAAACTTTTACGATTCGGTCGCTGAAACCTGGAAGTGTCGGTCTTAAGACGCGAGGACATGTGCGCTAGCTGCAAAACAAAAACAAGTGTACGTGCGCGTGCGCTGATTTACGTGAGTAGGCGTGCTGTGCAGGGTGCGCGCGCGCTCTTCATTCATTGCTGGCCGAACCAGCCACTCGGCTATCTGGTGTGGACGTCCCCTCGTCTCCTCTGACTCTCGGACTCTCCATCTCCACGCGCAGAAGTAGAACGCTAAACCCGGACCATGAGGGGCTCCTGCCGCCCGAGAAACACGCGGGACAGGGCAGGTAAGACGGAGCTTTTTTTTTGAAGCCGTTCGAAGAGTTTTTATTTTAGTATTATTGTTGAAAGTGTTGCTTTAGGAGCGGCAGCTGTGCTACTTTGGCTAGCAGCGGACTGAAGTAAACAAGCGAGTGTCACGTAGGCTCGCTTCCGGATGTCGAGGAGATGACAGCTGCGGAAAACACCCACTTACACTAAATCAATGTTAATCGTGTTGCCCTTTGCTTAAGACGCACTTTTTTTATTTATTTTTACTTTGTGGTGAAATGTCGCCCATTTGTACGTTTCCAACCGAGTTGCAAGCTGTTTTTTTGTGGAGACGCTGTCTCGAAGCTTTTAAATGTTACTGCACATGTTTTTGGTTGTCGTTTTAAAGCATCGCGGAGAAATCAAGTCGACCTATGATGGGACAGCCGCTCAGATTTGCATTCATCAGACACTAAAATGCAGAGGGGTAAAGTGTGCTGTTCTTTTAAATCGCAACTTGCATATAAGATGGGTCAGAACAGTTCCGAGGCTGGTGTCAAAAGAAGATATCTCAAACCCAAACTGCATTTTCGAACCCCCTCTCACTGTGGGCAAAGAGATCCCGTGGCCTTTGCTTCATTCAGTGCTCAGAATAGGCGAAGAGTTGTGGCAGCACATCTCGTGGCCGCTTCACCCCGAGGATCTGACAGTTCCTGGCTGAAAGGAGACTAACCTCCTGAGTCACCCGACCCATCTCTGTCTCTATTTTAACCCCCCCCCCCCCCACCCCATAAACTCAAGGGGATCGTCATTGAGTACTCGTTTTGAAGTTGACATCAAGATGGCCGTGGCAACGTTTGCTGTGAAAGATCCCCAGAAGAATCCTTCCAAAAGTGCATGCAGGTGAAGCATAGGAAAGTGCATTAGGATTGGATGACTTTGAAGAGGGAAAACTTGGATTTGAACGATAACTTTTGTGACATGAGTCTCAAAACTTTGCTGACATATCTTGTGTGTTTTGGTTGCAGTAAATATGCTGTTGTACTGGTTGCAGGAAAAAAGGCAGCTAATTTTACATTACTGTATACTCACTACTACTGTATACCTCAGTGAGCTGGAGTCTATCCGAGCTGTGGAGTGGAATGATTAGTTTCAATAGTTTGGTATTTTTTTGTGGTAGTTAAGTTTTTATTTCATTGTGACTTTTTCATTTTTATTAATTTGGTGGTTTTTCTTTTTTTTTTTTTTTTTTTTTAGCAGGTTAGTTAGTTTTCATTCATTATTATTTATTTTATTTTTAAATGCTCCGTTTGAATTTATTTTTCATGAGTTTTAGTATTAGCTTTATTTTGTAGATATGTGCAGTATTTTTGTAGTGCAAGAGAAACTGAAATTGTCACATGTAGTTTCACCCAGTTTACTTTTTTTGCCCCTGAAGCATTTTTTTCCTTTGTGATTTTATTTATTTTGTTATTTTCGTTAAAGAGAACGAAAATAACCGGTTTTGAGCTTGCCACGTGTTGTGTGGACAATGCGGCCTGAATGATTTTGAAAAGTAATCTAATTGCGATTCCCCTCCCACTCAATATTGCAATTGCGATTTAATATGCGATCATTTTTTTTCAAGGTCTTCTCCCCTTGTACCACTTAAAAGAAACGTGTATTATTGCAGACTGTTTTTATTACTGTTGCATGGTATTCCAGTGTGATAAATTTTGTTATTTGAGAGTAGAGTACTTAACACACTACTCTGACTGGGGGTTACAATGAAGGTTACGGGTCATGGATTAGGTTTAGTGTTTCAGTTTAAGGTTAGAAGTCAGCGTTAATGTTTCGGACAGGTTAGGAATTGGGTTTCAAGTGAGGATTCCCAGTTGGCATGTCAAGTTGTCCACGGGGGTCAAGAGGTCATGAGTTGGAATCTGGGCTTCGGCCTTCCTGTGTGGAGTTTGCATGTTCTTCTCAGGCTCGTGACTTATCAGGGTTTTCTTTTCGGTTCTCTGGCTTGCTTGCACACTCCAGCCATGCACGTTAGCTTCGTTCAGTAACAATTTTGATGAGGCTTCCCCAAAGGTTTCATTTGTTTTTCGACTTGCCCGGTGCAATGCAGATGAATTGCTCTCAGAGGCAGTTTATGGCCCCAGAGGCCTCCTCCTTTTTATCTTTATTGTCAGCTGATGAGTGTTTCAAAAAGTGTTTGTTACAAGTAGATTGATTCTGCTGTGCTCTTTGGACTATGGCCTCGTTTAGCTCCTCGTGCCAGTGCATGTAGAAGTCGAAAAGAAAAACATGTCTTGTTCCTCATTGTTTCATTGTTGAAGCTGCGTGTGTTAAATTAAGCAGCGAGTGTGAACAGTGGTGTGCACCAGCCTTTGTACCATGTCCCATATAATCCACTGACTCGGTTATAATACAAACAGGCTGTTACTCTATTATGTAATTCATATTGCCTAGAGGGAGCGCTGGAAAGTCACTGCTGCACTCTGTGGTCATGTGAGTATGCAAGGAGGGATCCGAGCTTTGTGTTCAATCCTCCTAAAGGCGCCATGACGTTGATTCCAAGTATGTGTTGGACAGATGTACTGTCAAGCTGACAACATGCAAGCTGGCACCCTGGCACTGCGCTCTGTTCACCGTAATCTACTCCGAATGGCTTCCTGCCCGTGCTAACATGATCGCACGAGGTGGCAGTAACGGCGTCCAGCCAGTTGTGTCACATACGTGCTGCAGAGGGAGGGCAATCTTCAGGAAGGTAATATTACACCCGGGTGTGTGCGCGTCAAGCGTCTTTCACACAACTCGTCTTTCCCATCTTTATTCTCAAATATGCCGTTGTTGTGTGTACAGTATTTGTGAGTTTGTGTCCTTTATGGCTTCTATGAATAATGGCAATAATTCATCGCTCCCGCTCACTCCCTCCCTCCCTGGCGGAGTCTGAGCAGAATCTGGGGGAAAGTTCACCCTTGCGCTGAATCTCATTATAGGCTTGAGGCCGAGCTGGGGCTGCGTCTGCGCACGCGCGCACTGTGTTGTCATCGGGGGAGTTTTTACATCTGGAGACTTGAGCCCGTTGTCATATTGGGCACATGTGACAGCGTTTAATGCCATGCTGGTGATTCCTCCGCATCTTGTTGATGTAGTCATGAGACATAAACCGAGCCCGTCGTTGGCTTTGCCTCGTGGTCAAGAAGCTGATCTGGATTCCGTTCTGTTCACACCACACCCCCTTCCCCCATTCCATTCTCATCGCTGCTATTATGTGATGATATTTTTGTCCCTGCGGTGAGTCGTCCTGCTTCCTGCATCGCCATTTTGTAACAGGAAAGAACCAAACAGGCCAGATCGAAATGTTTGTGTGTGCTAGAGGGCTCGAGTGCCTATAGCAGCAGGAGATTTTAGAAGTAATATCATACCCAATTTGCGTGATTAAGACTGAAAACACACTGCGTACATACTTTTGTTCATGCATTGCAGAGATAAAGCACAAATATTAGCAATGAAGCTTTGTATGTCAGTGAGCTAAAATGTACATTTTGGTCATATACGCAGCCGAGCACACTGAGCTTATCTATGCATGCTTTGGGTGCATTGTCTATGTGAATAAATCAACTCGGAAGTCTTCACTCACCTTTTCCTTGAAGGTGATTGTTACAATGGAGTAGCCGCAGGAAGGTTTCACATTCTGACAATATGATAACTGTGAGCATAAGTATTGCGGTTTCACAGTTTCGTGGGATTGCAATCATAACTCTAAAGTGTATTATTTTGGAATGTTTGGGTAAATATTGCCCCCCCCCCCACTGAGAAAATAATACGTTGAATTTTTCGAAATAAAATCAAAATATAGGACAAGAGTCAAAGAGCTTATTCTGAAAAAAATTGTTGTTACTAAACTGCTTTTCTCCACTCTGGAGTAATGTCAGAGAGGAAACGACCTGATGTGAGCCACGCTAGTTAGCTAGTTAACACGCCCACTTGACTTTACCTCAGCACACACACACACACACACACACACACACACACACACACAAAAAGCCGGTTCCCCCCCCCCCCCCCCCCAACGTTTTCAACAAAATCACCGATTCAATATTGTGGCAAAATAAAAACAACATACTATTCACCTGCTGTAAATCTTGTGGTGCTCTATTCACTTTTAATTTAGCCTCTTGTTTTTATATAGATGGATGCGTTACCTATCGAGTTATAATGAATAAGTGTCGGTCCATGGCAATTCAATTTGGGCCATTTAATTTTGTGCACATTGCCTTACTGACAAATGCATGTGAAAATGGTCAAACAGCGCCACTTGATGGCGTTTTCTGTCACTACATGTACGTGTGACATGAAATTACTCAAAATTGTATTGTGTATGCATTTCATACGTCAGTCAGTAATAATTTGCGTCAGTAATACCTAATTTGGGGGAATAATGTACAATTTACTAATTGTGCATTATAGTCACCAAGTCTCAAAAGGATTTTAACAGTAACAAAAAAGTATTTTAATGTGCAATATCCTTTTAGTGTGTGACTCATTCCTGAAGTTAATGAGTAATCTTGAGTAAAAATGTGAAAGTTGTTTTTGTTTTTAATCTGAGGTTTGTTTTTAATCTGAGGGCTGCCAGCCGCCAGGCACGCGCTGGTTGTTGTTGTGCTCCGCTGAGTTCATTGGCTGCCAGACTTCCGGTCTGTTCCCTGATTGGCCAAGATCGCTGCCTGCACTCGCTGTCCATGTGCTCTTCACGCGAAGGCTGTTTTTCAATGAAATGTCTGGTTTTTTTTCTTGTTGCGTCTCTCGCTCGCAACCTGTTGCTTTACGGTAACAACCGTCGTCCACTCAAAACTGTTCGAGTACATTCAGAATTTTCTACCCTCGAGTTAATAGTTCGTTAAAGCGTCACCCCGCAGATGTTTGTTTGACACCCCACATATGTTTGTTTGACACATTTAAGGGAGGGAAACCGTTTTTTTTTCTGCCTCTCGATTGTCGTTGCGCGCACTCTTCCACTCATTACGGTAGCGACAACCTGCTGTTCCTCAGCTGATATGAGAAATCCTCCCTCGGTGCGCTCAGAACCGAGCCCGAGCTTTTCGTTAGTTACTTCAAGTCAGCAGCAACAGCAACAGCATCGTCGTAGATGATGTTAGATAACGAGGAGTATCTGGTAGACGCATGCCAGCGGGAGCTCACTCAGAACCCGCTGAGGAAGATCTGGTTGCCGGGCAAGAGCGGCCACATTGCACAGAGACGCGGTAAGAAGATGCCAAAGGAGGACCGTTTCCCCAAGTAGTCTACAGTTGTATGCGGTTTAGATCAATGTTTCCACTTGCCCTTTGACACTATTTTCGCCGCAAACAGTCACGTGGTTCGGCCTCAAGCAACGGGACTTCATTGAATTTATCCACAACGTCAGTGGTTGTTTTCAAACGCAGTGTGCCGACTCGTCTCCCCCCTCTGGATGGCTCTGTTGCAGGACCCCCTTTTGTTTTTTGCTGAGTCAAGCCTCTGCGTGTTGTGCTGCCGTTTCAGCCCGCAGCTTTCACACCGCACTGCTGCATCAGTCATTGGACCGAGTCCACTCTAAACTCTCAGTGGTCTTTTCCTCGTCGAACCTCGGCGGAAACACGAGCGATTGAATTAGGCTAACGATTTGCAATTCGCCTCTCACTGTCCTGCAGTTATTATCAGGATGGTGAACTCGACGCTTAATGACTGAAAACGGTATACCAATACACGGAGTTTACAAGAGGCTGAAATAAAACTATGTACCGAGGGGAAAATGTGACAAAATAGTGCACGACATAGCGTAAAAAACGGGGAGACAGTCTAAAACGTTTAACGTAAGTGTAAAAAAAAATCTTTACCTCGCATAATGTTTGAAAACTGCTATCAATCGTCACCAAAATTAAGGTGTATTTATGCCCACGCTGACCTCTGAAAATATTCGAAAAATCGTCTCAGTAGCTTAAATTTTATCGACAGTAAGTGTTTGACATAAAGCTATAGTGAGCACCAATGCAGAGAATGATGTTAATATCCATAAAATCCAAAATATTGCGCCAATCGTTCTAATATTTGCAGTGGTAGAAGTTTCCAGACGTAGGGATGCCCATATAAATTGTGGTAATGATTGACTAGTTTTATGACATCAAGTGATATTAAGCTTTCTCTTTTGAAAGGAAATTTTATTCTTTTAGATGTAAAAGTGGGCATGAGTAGAGATGTGCACATACATTTTGGTGACGCTTGGTCGTCATTTTCCAACGGTAAGTAATATGAAGCTTTTTTTTCACATTAGTGAGTGCCTTTGGGGAGGAAAAGGCCCAACGTCCATAAAAACCCAAATATTTTCCAATGTCCAAATGGAGCATGAGTACAAATGTGCACATTAACATTGGCGAGATGATCACAATTTTCAGACACGAAGCAACGCTACGCTTTTTAACATTTAAAACGTTTTAGAGTGTCCCCAAAAAGGCAAAAAACAAGCCTCTGTGGTCAACTTTAATTGCCAATGAATGAAAATGTGCAACAAAAAAAAAATTCTCGTGCACAAATGATGTCGGTGCAGACTCTTCACATGCTTGTTGATAGCTGTTAGTAACCGATCAGAGTGAGCGAAACGTTATTGCCTTCTCTCTTTTGTGGTCATCCACGTCACGTCTTCCTAATTCTCATACCATGTGGAGCCTCTTGACTCCCAGTATTACTTTCGCACACGTTGAGCCGAATTGCAAATGTTTGTGTCTTTTGATAGTTTGTATGACCAACTGCCCCACCCTCATCGTGACGGTGGGCCTGCCAGCCCGTGGGAAGACCTACATCTCCAAGAAGCTAACACGCTACTTAAATTGGATCGGAGTGCCCACCAAAGGTACCCGCCGCTTCATTCCACTCACCGGAGAGTAAACCGCAGCATCTGTCATCATGAATATTGTTGTTATTGTTTTTTAATGTGTAACAGAGTTCAATGTGGGCCAGTACCGGAGGGAGTGTGTGAAGATCTACAAATCCTTTGAGTTTTTTAGTCCGGATAATGAAGAGGGCTTAAAAATCAGACGGTGAGTCAGTTCATGATTCATGTATCCTTTCTCTCATCCTTTTATGATTTGAATATCTCTCTTTTCTTCATTTATTACACGTGACCAGTGCCGAATTTGGACCCAAAACAAACCAAAAATCTAAAAAAAAAAATTAAAAAAAAAAATACAATGTAGTTGCACCGTGGCTATATCCACACACATGGTGTTATTTAAACTATGTTTAATATCTACAGCAGGGGTCTCAAACTCCGGTCCTGGAAGGCCGCTGTCCTGCATGTTTTCCATGTCTCCCTGTCTCAACACACCTGATTCAAATGAACAGGTTCAATGTCAGGCTTCCGCAGAGCTTGCTGATGATCTGATCATGAAGCGTTTTTAGCCGAAAAAAAAAACGAACATGTATAGTAAGGCATTTTTAATGAAGAGGGCTTAAAAATCAGACGGTGAGTCAGTTCATGATTCATGTATCCTTTCTCTCATCCTTTTATGATTTGAATATCTCTCTTTTCTTCATTTATTACACGTGACCAGTGCCGAATTTGGACCCAAAACAAACCAAAAATCTAAAAAAAAAAATTAAAAAAAAAAAAACAATGTAGTTGCACCGTGGCTATATCCACACACATGGTGTTATTTAAACTATGTTTAATATCTACAGCAGGGGTCTCAAACTCCGGTCCTGGAAGGCCGCTGTCCTGCATGTTTTCCATGTCTCCCTGTCTCAACACACCTGATTCAAATGAACAGGTTCAATGTCAGGCTTCCGCAGAGCTTGCTGATGATCTGATCATGAAGCGTTTTTAGCCGAAAAAAAAAACGAACATGTATAGTAAGGCATTTTTAACAAAAAAAAAAAAAAAACCGACCATGTATAGTTAGGCGTTTTTAGCCGAAAAAAACCAACCATGTATAGTAAGGCATTTTTCGCCAAAAAAAATGACCATGTACAGTAAGGCGTTTTTAGCCGAAAAAAACGACCATGTACAGTAGGGCGTTTTCAGCCCAAAAAAACGACCATGTATAGTAGGGCGTTTTTAGCCCCAAAAAACGATAGTAGGGCGTTTTCAGCCCAAAAAAACGACCATGGATCATGTACAGTAGGGCGTTTTCAGCCCAAAAAAACGACCATGTATAGTAGGGCGTTTTCAGCCCAAAAAAACGACCATGTATAGTAGGGCGTTTTTAGCCGAAAAAAATGACCATGTATAGGAAGGCATTTTTAGCCGAAAAAAATTATGTATAGGAAGGCATTTTTAGCCGAAAAAAATGACCATGTATAGGAAGGCATTTTTAGCCGAAAAAAATGACCATGTATAGTAGGGCGTTTTTAGTCCAAGAAAACGGCCATGTATAGTAAGGCATTTTTCGCCAAAAAAAATTAACATGTATAGTAAGGCGTTTTTAGCCGAAAAAAACGACCATGTATAGTAAGGCATTTTTAGCCGAAAAAAATGACCATGTATAGTAGGGCGTTTTTAGCCCCAAAAAACGACGATGTATAGGAAGGCATTTTTAACAAAAAAAAAACCTGACCATGTATAGTTAGGCGATTTTAGCCGAAAAAAATGACCATGTATAGTAGGGCGTTTTCAGCCCAAAAAAAAGACCATGTATAGTAGGGCGTTTTTAGCCGAAAAAAATGACCTTGTATAGGAAGGCATTTTTAGCCGAAAAAAGTGACCATGTATCTTAAGGCGTTTTTAGCCCCAAAAAACGACCATGTATAGTAAGGCGTTTTTAACAAAAAAAAACCGACCATGTATAGTTAGGCATTTTTAGCCGAAAAAAATGACCTTGTATAGGAAGGCATTTTTAGCCGAAAAAAGTGACCATGTATCTTAAGGCGTTTTTAGCCCAAAAAAACGACCATGTATAGTAGGGCGTTTTTAGCCGAAAAAAGTGACCATGTGTAGTCGGGCGTTTTTAGTTGAAAAAAACGACCATGTATAGTAAGGCGTTTTTGGATGAAAAAAAGGACCATGTATAGTAAGGCATTTTTAGACGAAAAAAACGACCATGTATAGCAAGGCGTTTTTGGATGAAAAAAAGGACCATGTATAGTAAGGCATTTTTAGACGAAAAAAACGACCATGTATAGTAAGGCGTTTTTAGCCGAAAAAAATGACCATGTGTAGTCGGGCGTTTTTAGTTGAAAAAAACGACCATGTATAGTAAGGCGTTTTTAGACGAAAAAAAGGACCATGTATCATAAGGTGTTTTTAGCCGAAAAAAAGTTTTTAACACAAAAAGTAGTTTCAAACCAAATGTGAGAAATGCCCTTGCGGCATGTGCTTTGCATGCCAGAGCAACAGGTGGCGCTAGGTCTAAAACCGTTTGTGGCTTTTTGCCAGCTATAAGCCATAGAGCTGACCATAAAAATCGCAGCACGTCAAATATTTGACTCGGCGTGTCACGAATCTTGATATTTCTTTTCCACTTTTTGACGTGAACTTAGTGGAGCTACTAAATATTTTCCATAATGTTGTAATTGCCACATCTGTGAAGTGTGTCGACATGTATTTGTTCCTGCAGCCACTGTGCAATGGCAGCTCTCAATGACGTCCGGCAGTACCTCAGTGTTGAGGGAGGGCAAGTGGCCGTGAGTTTTTTTCCTTCATTCTAAAATGACAAAGAATCTCTCTCGCGGATGCCCGCTCATGTATATACTCCTCGGCTACGGTTTCAGGTATTCGACGCCACCAATACGACAAGAGAACGACGAGGGGCCATTGTCAAGTTTGCCGAGCAAAACGGTTTCAAGGTAAGCGCGGCAGAGCACGCCGCCGCGGTGTGCCGGAGCCCACCGACGGACTGACCACTGGCGCTGTTGTCGTGCGCGCAGGTGTTCTTTGTGGAATCTGTGTGTGAAGACCCAGACGTCATCGCGCAGAACATCGTGGTGAGTTGTCGCGGTGACGTCTCTGTTGACATTCAAACCAACCCGTCATGTTCGGAATGTGTGTGCGTGCGTGCGTGTGTTTGCCGCGGCGTTAGCAAGTGAAGCTCGGCAGCCCCGACTACATCCACTGTGACACTCAAGAAGCCATCGAAGACTTTATGAAAAGGATCAAGTGTTACGAGTCGTCCTATCAGCCTCTGGACGAGGTTTTGGACAGGTGAGTTGACACAACATGAGGTACATGTGGATAATCGAAACAGCTGGTGTGCATAAGGAACAAGGTTATTTTAGTGAGCAAAAATTCAAACTAAAATTGAAAAAAGATTTTTATTCACGGAGTCAAGTAAAAACTGAAAATACTTTTCGCATTTATTTCGGTATTGTTGTGCCGTGGTCCTTTAGGGACATGCCCTACATCAAGATCATGGACGTGGGCCGCCGTTATCTCGTGAATCGCGTGCAGGACCACATCCAGAGCCGGATCGTGTACTACCTGATGAATATCCACATCACGCCGCGCTCCATTTACCTGAGTCGGCACGGCGAGAGCGACCTCAACATCAAGGGACGCATCGGAGGCGACTCGGCCTTGTCGGCGCGGGGGAAAGAGGTGCTCCACCTTCTGCATAGTCGCGTGTCTTCTTCCCCTGGACTGAGTGGTTTTTACAATTTGGTGTTTGGCGTTTTTTTTTTTTTTTTTTTTTTATAAGTACGGCACATGTCTGAGGAAGTACATCCAGGAGCAGAACATCAAGGATCTGAAAGTGTGGACCAGCCAGATGAAGAGAACCATCCAGACGGCCGAGTGTCTGGGAGTGCCGTACGAACAGTGGAAATCGCTCAACGAGATCGATGCCGTGAGTGGGATATTGTGCGCTCACCCAAATATATTCGAGGTGTTTTAACTCGTTGCCTCTCGTCTCGTCTCGTCTCGCAGGGCGTGTGCGAGGAAATGATGTACGAAGAGATCCAAGAGCATTACCCTTTGGAGTTCGCGCTGAGAGACCAAGACAAATATCGTTATCGCTATCCTAAAGGAGAGGTCAGCAAGTGCACCTGTTTTAAAAAAAAAAAAAATCACAAAATCAGTACTGAAGGCCGTATTCTTTCTCTCAGTCGTATGAAGACCTGGTGCAGCGTCTGGAGCCCGTCATCATGGAGCTGGAGAGGCAGGAGAACGTTCTGGTCATTTGTCACCAGGCCGTCATGCGCTGCCTTCTCGCCTACTTTCTCGACAAGACCGCAGGTAGCGCACATTCAAATTCAAATTCACAGGAGGCAACTTTAGGTGCGCAAGCTGCTGGAAAGGCGCACCGCAACAATCTGCCTTGACCAACATAATAATGCTCACACTATTATTATATTTTAGGTAGCTTATTTTGTTCAATGTTAAAGTTTTTAAGTCCCCCGCAGTCTTACTTTTGCCGCCATTTGAAACACAGTTGAACGCAATCGCTAAAACGTCGCCGATATAACGACCGATCCAAAAATGATGTTGTGTTTGTGTTTTTTTTTTTTCCCACAGTTGAGTTGCCTTATCTGAAGTGCCCCTTGCACACGGTGTTGAAACTCACCCCACTGGCTTACGGTCAGTTTTCTTCTCCGTCATCGTTTACAAACGCGAGCATCGGAAATGGGACGTTAGCGACGAGCGTTTTTTGTTTTCACAGGATGCAAAGTGGAGTCGATCTATTTAGGCGTGGATGCCGTGAACACACACCGAGAGCGACCGGAGGTACGTAAGCGGACCAACGCGGAGTGACTCCGCCCCCTCCACCTCACGGCCATTATTTTACCCAGACTCATCCCAGCCAGGAGGATGCTTCGCTGTCCGCACGCGCACCTCCGTCCTTTCCAGTCGCGCCTTGATAAATGCTTTTAGTGATCTACCTCCAGTCTGCCTTACATTTAAACTTGTACAATCATGAAGCCAACACACAACATGTAACCTCTTCAATGCATATGAGCTTTAATTGTGTTCAATTTGTTCTCATTGTGAACCTGAAAATGTTTCTCCACGATGATCAGTGTTAATGTCCATTCATGTTTCTTGTCTCGACAAGATGCACCGTAATAAATGAATCCTTTTCTACCTGTTTTATGTCCCCGTTGATGTCCAAAACTGTGGCTCTTCCAGAATGTGAGCGTGCAGCGTAGCACAGAAGCCGCTCTGAAAACCGTGCCGGCGCACTTCTGACGCCCTCGCTCGCGCTTCCTGCGTGACCGCTCAGCTGCCTCGCGAGGACGCTCGCCGTCGACGACTTGGGAGACGAATCGACACGGGCGTCACGTTTTTGTACTCCCAGCTTTCCCGAACGGACAGCTTTGTGGTGTTTTCGTCACGCTGTAGTATCACAACACGTCCTCCCGCACTGTCAAAAGCGTTCACGTAATGTGTTGCTGTTTTATAAAGCCGTGTGTGTGCGAACAAGAACTCTGCAGTTACTCTTTGCTCATCAGTGGTTTGAAGACCACAAGAAAATCTCCTTCCATGTCTTTGTGGTTGCTCACCATATTTCTCCAAATAGTGGACATGAGGTTGTTTGATTCAAACTTATGTCAACTGCGCGCCCCCCCCTGAAAAAAAAAGACAATTGCTGAAAAATATAGCAAAGATGCACATGTCATTGTCAGAGAACAGCAATACAGTACAAATGTACTAAAAGGTTTCATACAAGTGATCACTTAGGCAGTGATTCTTTTGTGTACCACTAGAGGGAGTGTGCGCACCACTCGTGTGTCGTGGGAATCACTACATTGGAGGGTCTGGAACTTTTGGAAGAAAAAAAACTTATGTCAGTCATAAGCTGTGTAAATCATCCTATACATGTTGAATATGCTCACAGGAGTAGTAGTGATGGTATCACCGGTGCTTTTTCAAGAGCCTTTTGAACATGTCGGGTCTTTGTGAAGTGTTTTTGATGTGTTCATGAATGTCAGTGATGCACCTGGAAACAAAAATCACCTTTGGGGTAGCATTCAGTGGCTTTTTTTGGGGTGTTTTATTAAAAATTTTTATGGGCCGACTACAATGGACATAAAAAAAAGAACTGCGGTGTGTTCATGAAGGCTGGGCGTTTGATGAGAAATTTCTTTTGGGGGAGCCAAGTGCACTCGATTTTGTTTCAAATCATCGTTCATACATCAGTTCCACACAATTGCTATCACGAGTGTCCATCCCCAATGTGCATCCTCCAAATAATTGTTTGCATTCAGTCACATCTGTCAAATGATTATTATAGTAATCTATGTACGTTTTACGTGTTTTAATCGATTCTATATTGGTTTATGTACACAACTGTTGTGAAAAGTGTACTTTGCCTTGCTGCTCCTTTTCAGTTGTACAAATGTCAATAAAGTTTCTCTGCTTGGTTGCCACTGTCTTTCTCGCCTTCCATTTTTGTTCACGAGTCATAGGTGAGCTGGAAGGGATACCAGCTGAGGTGACGCACAGATTGGGCACCACCCTAATGGACAATTTTTAGAGTCTTCAGCTATGAGAAAGCTCAAACTGAGATTTGAACCCTGACCCTCAGAAGAGTGAGGCATGTGCTGTTCCCTTTCCCCTTGAACTCACAAACAACATTTCTAATCTTCCCTACCGGCGAGTATATTTATTATTTTGGATGATTTCAATCTACAATAGGTTGGACTCTGTAATAAAACAGCATGCACCAATTGATTGCCTCGTGGTCATAACAAAAAGCATAGCACAATAAAATATATATTAAAAAACAAACACTTTCAATCATCAGGGGGAAAACAAAGCCAGTCTGTGCTCGTCTACATGGATTGGAAATGTACGAAGCACAGTACGTACATTTGTACATTATTTATATTTGTCATCTCTTAGCTGATGCCTTTCTTCTCTCGGGCCACACTGGTGGGAATGTTTTCTTTTTGTCTCAGAACTGCAAAACAAACAAAAAAAGTCAGAATTGTTGTTTGTTTGTCCTAACCCCCCCCGCCATCATTTTTAGTTCATAAAGCCCCAAAGCTTTGAAATCTCACATTTTTGAGGAACTCCTCAGCGACGATGCGAGCTCTGGCGTTGACGGACAGTTTCATCTCGCTGATCTCCTTGTCGATCTCCTCCATGAAGTGAATGACGAAGTCCACCAGCTTGTGCTTATACATCTGCTCCGTGTGGAAGTTGGTGATCAGGAAGCTGATGTCGTAACCCTGAACACAAAAGTCTTGAGTCATGTATAACTGGCGTACCAAACCATTTTGACATCATTTCTTTGTATAATACCGCCAAGATACATTTTCCATGAAAAATCGGGGAAAACACAGAAACAAAAACAAAAAGCTTAAATATTTGAAACTATTTTCGCTTGAGCTGCTCTCTGCTCACCTCCACCGGTTTCCTCCTGAGGATGAAGAAGTTCTCCGCCCTCATCATCATGAAGCGCATGAATTTGTGACACAGGATCTTCTCAATCTCGTCGGCCTGGTGGAATCCGCAATCGTGTCATCGCGCGGGACGAGAGACGGTTGGGAACGGCGACAACGGCGCCGGCCGAACTGACCTGCTTGACGGCGATGCTGACTCTGACCGAGTTGATGGAGCCCTCGATGAGGACTTTCTCCTTGTCGTTGCGGCTGATGACGACGGGCTGAAGGAGAAGTTCTTTGCTACTCCTGAACGTGGACACGAGACGGACAGTTATTCGCAGCCCTTCTCCAGAAAGAAGCAAGTGCCAAACGCACTCACCGTACTTCCACCTCGGGCTTGTTGTGTCTCTCCACCACCTGGGAGGAGAAGTTCTCCAGGCACAAGGCGGCCTGCAGGGTGGCTCGAACCGCGTTCAAGTAGGGCCGCAAGGTGGCCGTCTGACGAGCATTAAAAGCATTACACTGAATGAAATGTAGCGATGGGACCAAATCTGTGTGATTTTTCAAGACCCACAAAATATTATGTACTGATTATTTTTAGAATGGATCTACCACAGCATTGCTGGCCTGTGAAAAACTCAGTAGATGTAAATTTATTTAGTTATTGATTTATTTTATTTTATTGGATGACCGAAACATGATACGATTACATATTCTTTCAGGAATACATTCTCTGCCTCTCCCTCATTATTCATGAACACCAATACTTTGAAGTTGGTTATGGGTATTTTTTTCTGGTGGCACTTGACATAAAAAGCTTGAGAACCACTTGATTAAAAGTTTATTACTACTAATGACATCAATGCTACTTTCGTTAGCCCATCTATGGCGTTTCATATTTACCTAGTCCATCTATCTTTTGTATTTCACTTTCTTTTTTCCTGCACATATATTGATTGCTATCTTATTTTCCTATTAGGACATACAAAATAGTATTAGTATGTATCAGTACAAAATGTGCTTCGAATTGCTAAATATGTTTTCATGAACAGAAGTCAGTGCGCTGTATGGAAGTTGCCCAACTGAAAGCTGGCTGCTTCAGCAGCTGTTAGCTTTAGCTTGCTAGCATTCGAATTTACGGCCACGGTCGCATTCCTTTGTTGCTATACCAAAAGGCGTCGCTTCCTAAGCATAATAGTCGACTCTGTTTGGATTAAATACTCAATAAACACACATATTCCACGTTAGAGTCGACTAGTTACAATTAGCCTGTTAGCTAACCAGTTGCCTAGCATGTTTGAATGAAAGCAGAAGCTACATTTTGTCCCGCGTGTTGAAGCTAAAGAAGCATCTGTCGAAGGCACACGACACATTTAAAGTACGGTGAGAAGCAAAAAGTAATCGAGGAGCAAACGTGTTGTGTGTAGCTCACCATTTTGATGTGTCAGGAAAAGCAGCTACAAGGCGGAAGTAGCCGCTCTTTGATCAAGCTATTTCCGCGAAGGCACCGGAAGTCGACGAGGCGAGGCGAGGCGAGGCGAGGAGCAGGAAATCGACTGAGGGATGTGGCAACTCACATTTCGACAAACGACGAACTACTTTCATAGTTGCGGAAGAATACTTCGTCACGCCGTACAAGAAGTCGGTCGACTGGTTAGCACGTCTGCCTCACAGTACAGGGGTGCAACGTTCGATTCCGGCTACGGCCTGCCTGTGTGGAGTTGGCATTTACACCCACGTCCCACGGGTTTTCCCCGGGTACTCCGGTTTCCTCCCACATTTCAAAAACATGCACGGCAGGATAATGGAACACTCTAAATTCCCCCTAGTTGTGATTGTGAGTGCGATCGGCTAGCATTGCATGTACATATTTACTGTAATTATGAATTTACTCTTGTGTTTTGAGTAGCTTAGACCACGTTGTAAACCGAGGGATGCCCCGGTCATTCAGCACTTTGTGCACTTCAGAGCTTCCTCAAATCCTGTCACCGTCATCAGTTGTTTTAAAGCAGACAACTTGTCTTGCTGCTTGGCTAATGAGGGTGACTATGTAAGTAGGATTTAACAATAACGATGCAATGAAATACTGTACTATTTACGAGGGTCCCTGGCTCTCTATACATCAAGTACAGTACATCTATATTTTGTATACAGCTTTGGAAAAAAACCCAGACTTTCTTTTGGTACAGTACGTCAACCATTTTTCATTTTCTGTAACTAAATGTTCTAAAAATATTACAGACCCTCCACCGAGTGGCGTATATATACACATACATACAATATACACACATTAATATACATACACTGTATTGTATTGAATACAACCTTCAAGTTGTGGAGAAATCCTTAAACCAGGTGAGAATCTGTGAAGCCAGACGAAGAGTCGATATATTCAAGAGTTTTATTTGATGTTCAAATTCCCATTGACAACATTATTGGCATTGCAGTGATTTTGTTTCTACAAGAAGGAATAATATCATGGCAGAAAGATGGATATTTTGTTGTCACGTAGGTTTCCATCCATCAGCCATTTGACTTGTCTACACACCGTAACACACAATCCATTAAAAATATTTAGTAATTGGCCGACCTGAGCTACAAGCAGATAAGTGAGAAGAGCAAAAGTGTGGGTGACGCATATTTAGGCATTTGGTAGCACTGAAAGATGAACACAAAGAGCGGTGAAAGGAGCGGTCCAATCAATGTCTTACTTGCAGAAGTGAGAAGCAGTTAAAAGTCGAGACTGATGGAGGCCATACAATCAACGTGTTCAACGGGGGAATTTTAACAAGGAAAAGTGAAAAGAAATATATCTATATATTACCCTCACAGGAAAGGCATGTATTTATTTAGTGGCAGATGTTGCCCAAAATCAGTCATCCCTCTACATTTAGAACATATAAAGGCAAGAAAGAAAGTGCAAAAGAAAAAAAACGAAAAAAAAAAAAACCTATTTCAGATTGGCTTGAGATGTAATATCCACCAATTCAAATATATATGTAATTTATATATATACAGGTAGATAAGTAGACATATAGTTCAAGACGATTACTTTTGACAGGCAATGGAAAGAGAACAGAAAAAAGCTAAAAGGCTTCTTGGGATGCTGAGCTTAGCCAACATCACACATTACTTAGCATCAACCGGTCCAGTTTACGTTCCCAATTGGTTTCAACATGGTGCCGTCATCCCGTTCAACAAGTTGATGGCTCACCGCGGAGTGCTGGGGATGGGGAGGGGGCGATGGGACTGGATGGGGTTTTTTGTTTGTTTGGGGGGGGGGGGGGGGGGGGGGGGGGGGGGCTGTTCTCCTCCTGTGTGCTCTTCGGACACCAAGTTTATCAGAATATGTTTGATTTCACGTGAGAGAGGGGAGGCGGTACATCCGTGAGTGGCTTCTTATTGCGTGAGGAGGATGAAATGAAGGAGGAAGACTTGCAGGGAACGGGTGTTCCCTGGGAGCGAGGTGCAGGTGTGACTCATCCGCCGAAAGCCAAGAGGAGATGTTCCGGGTCGTCCCTCAGCAGCAGCCACCGCCGCCGGGCGACTTCGGTCTGTCGTTCCGGTCCAATTTTATGGGCTCGGGGAAGTCGTTATACGGCTCCACCTCGCTCTCCTAACAGAGAGAAACGAGATAAGTCATCAGTCGTGGAAGTCACGCCCATTTTTAACTGAAAATGACATCACAGTGCGGAAGAGTTCAGCCTGCCATTGTCACATGACCAGACCCAGAAGAAGCGTGATTGTCCGTTACCCGATGAGAGTAGAATACCGTATTCAGAATAGTGGAGACACATCAAACACAAAATGTTGGACTTTACTTCTGCTTTAAGGGGCGTGGCCTAGTGAGCGACACCAGTTGGGTTGGTTGTTTTGTGTTCCGTATGAGTGTCTGTACTCCTTGGGAAGATTTTTAATTAGTTGGACTGTCAGCACTGTTCAATAAATGTTGTTTTTCTTTTTCCCCACATCTTGAGCACCCTGAAACTCGCTTGCAAATCAAATTTTGGCCAGCAACACAAGGCCCTTTTCCCCACCCCTAGCGACAACAAAAAACAAGCGACGGCTTATAACTGAAATAATAATAAAAAATTCTGGTGCCTGTACTTGATTTGATGATTTAATGAGATGACTTCCTTTACTTGTAAACAGATGACCAATACTTTCGACATCTTTGTGAAAATAGGTTCATTATTTGGGATGCACTGTCACAGTAAATTTGTGTAAAAACACTTAACAGCACAGTGCTTGTCCAAGAAATATAGTCCGACACTAACACACCAATACCACACAACCAGCATGACATACGCTACCTTGCAGCCAAGAAGTTAGAATAGGACTCATGCCAGCCATTTAAGTTCAACATGGATGACAACTTTGTCAGCTGCCGGCAAATTATACCCCGTAAAACGGATGACGAAATTTCAAGGCCCATCGCTGGCTCTGCTCATGCATGAAGCTGCTACAGCACGACACGTCGATGAAAAAAAAAGTATGTGATCTGCTGTCACACAAAAATAAAAAGCCCATTCGGCAGTGCTAGAAATAATACGTCGTGTAGCAAGGTCTCGCTGCCGCCACCCACCTGTTTGAGGGCGTTGCGTGCAATAGTCTGGAAAGCCTGCTCTACGTTGATGGCTTCTTTGGCGCTGGTCTCAAAGTAGGGAATGTTGTTCTTACTCTGGCACCAAGCCTGAGCCCTTTTGGTGGTTACCTGCGAGTCGACGAGAACAAGACAGACATTCAAGCGAGGGTAATAATTACGGAGAAAAGAAAGGGGCAAAAGCAGCTCACAGCGCGGCAAAACCTGGTCCACTGTTAATCCTTAAGCCCCTTTCACACTGTGGTCACACATCCTTCCATTTTCTAAACCTTTTATCCCGTCGAGGGCTGCCGATCCTAGTCGACATGACCATACACCCCCGGATGGGTCGGCAGTTCGTCACAATCACTCAGGGCACATCACACCGCCTTTGCGTGGGAACTGAAGCAGTCAGAATCCGCTGAAATCAGGGGTGTGAACTACTACACAGCTGAACTGGCCGTTTTGCCAGTTAGGACAGCGTGTTTACAGCCTCGTGGTGGCTCCCAAGTCCAATATTTACTCTGAAGCTTGATTTCAAGGATGTCAACTCATCAAGTGATGTTTCAACAGCAAACCTTAACAGCGGGAAGCGTTTTACATTCAGCAGGTCTTCAAGGGCCAAGTGTCTCTTTGTAAATGCCGGCGCACTTGCTCTGCTTTCTCATATTTGGGTGTGATGCAGCATTCGGGTTACAAAAGGGAGTGGAACGGTTCCACCCCAAATGTGGGCCGATTTCCATAGTAAGTTAAGATGGTTGATTTTGTAAATGATAAGCACACATGGAAACATTTTGTTTTGCTGCAACAAATATGCATCCAAAACAATATTTTTAAAAAATCTAGTTTATTCCCATTGATTAAAACATAAAACATTCCCAAATTTTGCACATTTGAACCTGTACTAAATTTTTGACCAACAATGAGGGAGTCGCCATCATCCTTTATGCCCGCCTACCTGTCTGTTCTCCAAGTCGATCTTATTGCCAAGCACCACAAATGGGAAGTTCTCGGGGTCTCGAGGGCTGGCCTGGATCAGGAACTCATCTCTCCAGCTGTCCAGAGTTTTGAAGGTGTTGGGTGCAGTCACGTCAAACACCAACACGCAGCAGTCTGCTCCGCGGTAGAATGCCACGCCCAACGACTGGAACCTCTCCTGGCCTGCCGTGTCCCAGATCTGAAGAGCCAAATGGTCACCGACAATTCAATAAAGCGTTACTTCTACTGCTCACCGCGGGGATGAGATGACAAGGTTGACAGGAATGAAACGTGGAGCTGTGACAAACCTGCATGGTAACGAGCCGGTCATCCACCATCACCTCCTTGGTCAGAAAGTCGGCGCCTATTGTAGCTTTGTACTGGTTACTGAACTTTTTGTTCACATACTGGTTCATGAGTGACGTCTTTCCAACGCTGGTGGGACACAACAGACAAGCGCGATAGCACACGCTGCTCAATTGGGGTCGAATCAAAATGTGCCGCGCTGACAGACTTCGTCCTCAAAAACTCCCAATGATGTCATTAAAGCTAAAGGTGCTTCAACAAAGCTATCAAAACAACATGACATTCCGATTTTTGTGCCATTCACATACATGTAATTTGTCGATACTTTGCCGATACGAGCTTTAACATCGCTGCAGGTAAGGGTGTGTCTTATCAACTGGGGTGGGCGAAATGGACACAATATCTGATTTCTGTCACATTTATGTTGCCCTATGTTTCATTTTATTTTTTTTGGGGGGGGGGGGGGGGGGGCAAAGCTCAGGGGGGGGGGGGTTTCCCCCCCCCCCCCCCCCAATCCTAAAGTTGCTGGTTCAATCCCTGGCCATTACGACGTCCGTGTCAAAGTGTCCTTGAGCAGGATTCTGAACCCCCAGTTGCTCCTGATGCTGCGTCATCAGTCGATGAATGAGTGTAACGCGCTTTGAGGACCCGAGGTAGAAAAACGCTGTTTAAGTGACAGCCCATTTACCATTTGCAAATAGCAACGCAAATAGCAACGCTCACCACAGCACTGCTTGTAAAAATTAAGATGCATTACTTATAGATAGGAAGACCTACTAAATGACCGTATTGAACGGAGACACATTTAACTCATTCAGTACCAGCCAATTTAAGAACGTCTTTGGGAATGAATGAGTTAACGTATCTGCCAAATTGCGAATGATTTGTGCCAACGTTAGAAGTGCTAGAATCAGCCGCTTTGACCGGAACTACCAGAGGTCATCATTAAACGCATCCATAAAAGGATGGGATGTGACAACTGAAACAATAAAATAAAAAAAGTACCACTAACCCAGAATCTCCAAGGATGATGACTTTCAAGAGAACTTTCTTCCTGGAGGTCATTCTTCAAAGAGCTATATCAAACAAAGGAAAAGAAGGTTTGCCATGATCTCATGAATCATGTTAACAGAAAAGATGTTTAAATGTGAGAGAGAGAGAGAGAGAGAGAGAGAGAGAGAGAGAGAGAGAGAGAGAGAGAGAGAGAGAGAGAGAGCTGGACCAATCAGCTGTGAAAAGCAGTCATGTGCTTGTAAGTCGTGGGACAAATCACGAGGAACACATCACTCCTCTTCTCCACAAGTCACACTTGACTACAACTACATGTCATAATTCTGTCTACCGATTGAAACTACAACAATGCAAAAAGATTTGTGGGAGGAGTATTTGGGCATCCATGCATGCATGCTGCCAAACCACCGGTAAAACTAACAGAAATCATCTCAGTAGTCCTGCAATACTTGTGTAAGAAATGGCAGTTGCGCATTAGGCAAGCTGCACTTTACTTCTTTTTTTTTTCTTTTTTAAATACCTACAGAACAGAGTAAAATTGAGTCTGATAAACACTGAAATGAAATAGCTTTCATCTCTCATTGAGATTGCAGCATTCACCTCACATTCCTCGCCGGCAGTTAATCTTTAGTCCCAACACAAGAATATTTACTTTGCCGGAAAAGCAATCAGTTCAAATCTCTGTTTTTTGTCAGATGGCGTTTGTGGTCCCTCGTGTGGACCCGTTGTGGACTGTTCGTAGCGTTTTGGCCGTGACATTTGTCAAAGGAGAAAAATTCTATGCGCCTTCTCGGCAGCTTGCGTGTGCCAGGGCTGATTTTGATTGGGGGTGCGGGGGGGGGGGGGGAA